CGGTAAAAAAGCTTTTTTTCTATAGTCTTTTATACCGCCAGTTACGGTTTGTGTTTTAATGGAACGATTCTGCAAAAGCTGTAAAGCGAAACGTTGAGTGTCTAATTAAAGAAAAAATAACATTTTGATGTTATAAGGTCGTTCATTTCTAGTGTTAAAATGTCTTCTATACACAAATATGCACTACAAAAATTAAATAGTGAGTATGTCTAATGACAGTTTTAAAACTAACTTACTTAATATGAAAAAAGAGGTTTCTGATCGTCATATCTCTCATTAAAGGATTATTGATGTTGAGTATTTTTATTTTAATGGATTTTATATTATGTTTCATCTGCGATGTATTCAAATTTAATAATATATGCTAAGCATCCGTTTTATTGTTGTTCTTTTCGAAACATTTCCTGAAGTGTGAAAAAACTCTAACTTACCGAAAATTAAGGTCAGCATATCTGCCACTGCTAAGTTGAACAGGTAACAATTAGTCGCCGTTTGCATGTACTGGTTTCGTGAAATCACTAGGCACGTGCATGCATTGCCTATTATCCCTGTTAGGAATATCACCCAATAAACACTCGTTAGTGGAATCAACCAATTTAAAGGTAAGCGTTTCGGTCCGAGCCTTTGAATGATGAAAGTTTCTACGTCAGTAGTTACCAGTGGCTCCAAGGTCGTTAGGCTGGCTGTGTAGTTGCCAAAGATGTCTGAAACGCTCATGTTCAGTGTGAGAGAGTCTGCACTCATGCTTGCTTATTTCCACATTAAAAAATCAACGTTATATTGTAACTAATGCCAAAGAAACTACATGAACCATAGTTTGATATTATACGTACTTTGGCGAAGTGAAATTGTCTGTTTCGTATTTCACTCCTACGTCATACTGACACATCAAAATCGTGTGTCCTGTCCCTCTTGGAAACTGTCACCAGCAGGAATATTTCTGGAGAATAAAACAGGTGTTAAGCTATTGTAAGAAACATCAAGTTGTCGTGTTGTGATAAAAAAAAAATCCACAAAAACAGTAGTAACGTGAAAATTGTATCTTATATTAGGAAATCGTAGGACACCAGACACAGTGTGATGAACGTCTCACTCGTAATGTGTACTTAAAAACAATAAAGTACCAGACATATTGAACATATCATAGTGTCACTTGTATTAAACAACAATGAAACACCAGATCTACTACAGTTAATGTGGCACTTTATCTTAAGCAACAATAAAACACCTCAATTAGTTTAATAAGTGTGTCATTATTAAGGTAAGCAACCATAAAACTACAAACCTGATATAATGAATGTGTCAGCTATATTAAACAAGCTATATAGCTTTAGATGGTTTATATGTTGCTTATAAAAATTATAAAACACCAGGCCTATTATAATGAATGTGTCACTTTATGTTAAATGATCGTAAAATATCACACCTAGTATAACATATGTGTTACTTAGTTTAAACTTAACAGTCTCAAATACCAGACAGAATGTGATGAATACGTCAATTATGTTAAACAATCGTAAAATACCACACCTAGTATAACATATGTGTTACTTAGTTTAAACTTAACAGTCTCAAACACCAGACAGAATGTGATGAATGCGTCAATTATGTTAAACAATCGTAAAATACCACACCTAGTATAACATATTTGTTACTTAGTTTAAACTTAACAGTCTCAAATACCAGACAGAATGTGATGAATGCGTCAATTATGTTAAATAATCGTAAAATACCACACCTAGTATAACATATGTGTTACTTAGTTTAAACTTAACAGTCTCAAATACCAGACAGAATGTGATGAATACGTCAATTATGTTAAACAATCGTAAAATACCACACCTAGTATAACATATGTATTACTTAGTTTAAACTTAACAATTTCAAACACCAGACAGAATGTGACGAATGCGTCAGTTATGTGAAACAATCGTAAAACATCACACTTAATATAATGACTGCCGCTATAAGATAGAAGGCGTTCTCTACAATTGTCCCGTTATGACTATGAACTGTATGAAGTGGTCTGTTGAGCCTGTCAAGCTTTGTTAAACAGGTGCAAGGCTAAAAAGCCATCAACCTAGGAAGTAATTCGATCATATGTTATCATATTTTAAACAGTAACTAGAAACAATGATCAGAATAGCAAATCTTTTTGGAACACACACCAACTGTTTTGACTTTAACTTTAAGATGTTACTAACTGGAGTTATATTCACACGTTGATTGGTAAGTTGATATGAACTAATGACCAGAAGTTGTGAAACTGTTGATATGCCTTTTTCTTGTTGACACCATACACGATGTCATGTGTCACACAAAATAGCCAAAATCGGGGAAAGTTTGGAAGAAGTCGCTTTCATATTCCTGTATCCGGTACTTCCCACAGGTCAGTTTACTCTAAAGTGTCAAGTGGAAACTGTGATATTCTTCCAGGTCAACTCACTGATCGTTTTTTTCTGGAGAGGGTTTCTTTTCTTCATCCTATAAAAAGTCAAAACAATCGTATGTAATTAACTATTCTGTTGTTTGCTGTAGGAGCGACCGTTCGCCTTAAAACGACATCGCGTATTACTTGGTTTAGACGGTTTACACGGGCTCAGCTGTAGTTCATCCCCCTATCGGCAATCTGCTTAAACTTCACGTGGCACCATTCGAACCAAAACTTGCTTCTATATATAGAGATACTTAACACTGGGCAACATGAATACTCTGGGGAAATCATATCTATTAATAATTATTTACTTTATTTCCTATTGACTGTGTTCTTAATGTAGTAACGACTGTTGCCCCAACGACGTCAGGTCTTTTGTAGGTTTAAACGTTTCCATAGTAACGTAAAAGTAAACTAGATCTGTATGATAAATATTATTAAAGTCGAATTTATATATTTTTGTAATTTAAAATATATTAACTACTTAAACTAAATATTTTTCTTATTCATTCTATAATGCGATGTGATCGAACCTATAGCAAAATGTTCGTAATGTATTTTGTCGTATATAAGTAAAATTACAACATAGACTAGTTTTTATTAAATTTAGAACAATTGCTGACAAAACGCTGCCAATTTTCGTTTTATTACAACACAAATGAACTATCAAAAACTAAATGAGCCCAGTTTAGCTGTTACTAAAAAGATGTTTCGGCAGTTTAAGATACTCACTTTGAATAGTGGACGAGCGTACCCAATGGTCAGCGTAGCGGATTGTGAGGTTGAGATTATGTGTGGTTCGCGTCTCGTTACTGAAAAAAAAAAAGCTCTCCGATACTTGGGACCGTGGGAACGCTATGAATATCAATCAAATCCCATCATTCGGTTTGACAAGATTATCCCAAGTGTTGGCGGTGGGTGGTTGGCCTTCAAAATTAGTAACGGCTAGCGCAGATAGACCTTGAGCAGCTTTACGTGAAATCCAACTAACAAACACTGAATATTGTAAAGTTTTGCTCAGAAGGTAAGGCTAATGAATTATTCCTATAAAAATACTAAACGTATCTTCCTTAAACTTCACTACTTTGATCACAGTTGAGACATAATCGACTACCTCACATTAACTAGTTTAAAAGAACATATCATGTAAAAAATGAAAAAAATACAAACTAGCAAAAAAGATAAACTCTGATGGTGCTTTTGAAGCTGAGATGTTTCCCTCACATGCAATATAGATAACTGGCATTCACAGCACGCTAGGTATGGTTACACTTTGACTCTCAAGTCGACGTTTAGTAGGAGGAGAAGGAGATAAAGAGTATTTCAAAATGAAGAAAATAGGCGTAAAAAACTAAACTTAGCTACACGCACACACATATATATGTAATAGATAAATCTGATGTCATCAATTAAAATTTACATAGTTATTCAAATAACCCTCTAAAGAGTCTCACATCTTATAAAAACAATGGTAAGATATTTTAATCTAATTTGATGCTTGAAGCTAGCATTAAAAAAGTATGATAAATATGTGTATATTCGTGATTTTATTTCACATCTTAAAATATATGTTTCATTTAACTTTGCTTTTAGCTGTAAAACGTAAAAATAAAGTAACATATATGAATATACGTTCCATATATGAATATACGTTCCATATATGAATTAAATCCAATACACGAGGGAAAAACTTATATCAAAATGTAAGTTTACACTGACTGAGAGAGAAAATTTTCTAGAAAAACCGTTCATCAGCTTTAACAATGAAATTAACTTAATGGAAACCCTCCACACACACACAGTATAGATATATATACTAGCTGAGTTACCCGGCGTTGCACAGTGAAAATTTAGATTTGAAATGTATAGATCAGTATTTTTTTCAG